GCTAGCCTGGTCCAGGAGCTTGCTTGGTCAAGAAGCGTGCCTGGTCCAAAAGCTTGCGTGGTCCACGAACTTGGCTGGTCCAGGAGCTTGCTTGGTCCAGAAGCCTGCCTGGTCCAAGAGCTTGACTGGTCGAGGAGCGTGCCTAGTCCAGGAGCTTGCGTGGTCCAAGAGCTTGCCTGGTCCATGAGCGTGCCTGGTCCAAGAGCTTGCGTGGTCCAGGAGCTTGCCTGGTCCAGGAGCTTGCGTGGTCCAGGAGCTTGCCTGGTCCACAAGCTTGCCTGGTGCACGAGCGTGCCTGGTCCACGAGCTTGCGTGGTCCAGGAGCTTGCCCGATCCAGGAGCTTGCCTAGTCCACGAGCTTGCCTGGTCCATGAGCTTGCCTGGTCCAGGAGCTTGCCTGGTCCAGGAGCTTGCCTGGTCCAGGAGCTTGCCTGGTCCAAGAGCTTGCCTGGTCCAGGAGCTTACCTGGTCCAGGAGCTTGCCTGGTCCATGAGCTTGCCTAGTCCAGGAGCTTGCCTGGTCTAGGAGCTTGCCTGGTCTAGGAGCTTGCCTGATCCAGGAGCTTGCCTGGTCCAGGAGCTTGCCTGGTCCAGGAGCGTGCGTGGTCCACGAGCTTGCCTGGTCTAGGAGCTTGCCTGGTCCAAGAGCTTGCCTGGTCTAAAAGCTTACCTGGTCCAAGAGCTTGCGTGGTCCTGGAGCTTGCCTCGTCCAAAAGCTTGCCTGGTCCAGGAGCGTGCCTGGTATAGGAGCTTGCCTGGTCCAGGATCTTGCCTGGTCCAGGTGCGTGCCTGGTCCACGAGTTTGCCTGGTCTAGGAGCTTGCCTGGTCCAGGAGCTTGCCTAGTCCAGGAGCTTGCCTGGTCCAGGAGCGTGCCAGGTCCAGGAGCTTGCCTGGTCCAGGAGCTTGCCTGGTCCAGGAGCGTGCCTGGTCCAGAAGCGTGCCTGGTCCAGGAGCTTGCCTGGTCCAGGAGCTTGCCTGGTCCAGGAGCTTGCCTGGTCCAGGAGCTTACCTGGTCCAGGAGCGTGCCTGGTCCAAGAGCCTGCCTGGTCCAAGAGCTTGCCTGGTCTAAGAGCTTGCTTGGTCCAGGAGCTTGCCCGTTCCAGGAGCGTGCCTGGTCCAAGAGCTTGCTATGTCCAAGAGCGTGCTTGGTCCCGGAGCTTGCCTGGTCCAGGAGGTTGCCTGGTCTAGGAGCATGCGTGGTCCAAGAGCTTGCCTGGTCCAGGAGCTTGCATGGTCCACGAGCTTGCATGTTCTTGAAGCTTGCCTGGTCCAGGAGCTTGCCTGGTCCAAGAGCTTGCCTGGTCCTGGAGCGTGCCTGCTCCAAGAGCTTGCCTGGTCTAGAAGCTTGCCTGTTCTAGGAGCTTGCCTCGTCCAGGAGCTTTCCAGGTTCAAGAGCTTACCTTGTCCAGGAGCATGCCTGGTCCAGGAGCTTTCCTGGTCCAGGAGCTTGCTTGGTCCTTGAGCTTGCCTGGTCTAAGAGCTTGCCTAGTCCACGAGCTTGCCTTGTCCAGGAGCTTGTTTGGTCCAGGAGTTTGCCTGGTCCAAGAGCTTGCCTGGTCCACGAGATTTCCTCGTCCAAGAGCTTGCCTGGTCCAGGAGCTTGCCTGGTCCAGGAGCGTGCCTGGTCCACGAGCTTGCCTGGTCCAAGAGCTTGCCTGGTGCAAGAGCGTGCCTGGTCCGCGAGCGTGCCTGGCCCAGGAGTTTGCCTGGTCCAGGAGCTTGCCTGGTCCAGGAGCTTGCCTGGTCCAGGAGCTTACCTGGTCTAGGAGCTTGCCTGGTCCATGAGCTTGCGTCGTCCAGGAGCTTACCTGGTCCAGGAGCGTGCCTGGTCCACGAGCCTGCCTGGTCCAAGAGCTTGCCTGGTCCAGGAGCTTGCCCGTTCCAGGAGCGTGCCTGGTCCAAGAGCTTGCTATGTCCAAGAGCGTGCTTGGTCCCGGAGCTTGCCAGGTCCAGGAGCTTGCCTGGTCTAGGAGCATGCGTGGTCCAAGAGCTTGCCTAGTCCAGGAGCTTGCATGGTCCACGAGCTTGCATGTTCCAGAAGCTTGCCTAGTCCTGGAGCTTGCCTGGTCCAAGAGCTTGCCTGGTCCAGGAGCGTGCCTGCTCCAAGAGCTTGCCTGGTCTAGAAGCTTGCCTGTTCTAGGAGCTTGCCTCGTCCAGGAGCTTTCCAGGTTCAAGAGCTTACCTGGTCCAGGAGCATGCCTGGTCCAGGAGCTTTCCTGGTCCAGGAGCTTGCTTGGTCCTTGAGCTTGCCTGGTCCAAGAGCTTGCCTAGTCCAAGAGCTTGCCTAGTCCAAGAGCTTGCTTGGTCCAGGAGCTTGCCTGGTCCAAGAGCTTGCCTGGTCCACGAGATTTCCTCGTCGAAGAGCTTGCCTGGTCCAGGAGCTTGCCTGGTCCAGGAGCGTGCCTGGTCCAGGAGCTTGCCTGGTTCAGGAGCTTGCCTTGTCCAGGAGCTTGCCTGGTCCAGGAGCGTGCCTGGTCCACGAGCTTGCCTGGTCCAAGAGCTTGCCTGGTCCAAGAGCGTGCCTCGTCCGCGATCGTGCCTGGCCCAGGAGCTTGCCTGGTCCAAGAGCTTGCCTGGTCCAGGAGCTTGCCTGGTCGAGGAGCTTGTCTGGTCCAGGAGCTTGCTTGGTCCAGGAGCGTGCATGGTCCAGGAACTTGCTTGGTCCAGGAGCTTGCTTGGCCCAGAAGCCTGCCTAGTCCAAGAGCTTGACTGGTCGAGGAGCGTGCCTGGTCCAATAGCGTTCGTGGTCCACGAGCTAGCTTGGTCCAGGAGCTTGCTTTGTCCAGGAGCGTGCGTGGTCCAAGAGCTTGCCTGGTCCATGAGCGTGCCAGGTCCAAGAGCTTGCGTGGTCCAGGAGCTTGCGTGGTCCAGGAGCGTGCCTGGTCCACGAGCTTGCCTCGTGCACGAGCATGCCTGGTCCACGAGCTTGCATGGTCCAGGAGCTTGCCTGGTCTAGGAGCATGCGTCGTCCAAGAGCTTGCTTGGTCCAGGAGCTTGCATGGTCCACGAGCTTGCATGTTCCAGAAGCTTGCCTAGTCCAGGAGCTTGCCTGGTCCAAGAGCTTGCCTGGTCCAGGAGCGTGCCTGCTCCAAGAGCTTGCCTGGTCTAGAAGCTTGCCTGTTCTAGGAGCTTGCCTCGTCCAGGAGCTCTCCAGGTTCAAGAGCTTACCTGGTCCAGGAGCATGCCTGGTCCAGGAGCTTTCGTGGTCCAGGAGCTTGCTTGGTCCTTGAGCTTGCCTGGTCCAAGAGCTTGCCTAGTCCAAGAGATCGCCTTGTCCAGGAGCTTGCTTGGTCCAGGAGCTTGCCTGGTCCAAGAGCTTGCCTGGTCCACGAGATTTCCTCGTCCAAGAGCTTGCCTGGTCCAGGAGCTTGCCTGGTCCAGGAGCTTGCCTTGTCCAGGAGCTTGCCTGGTCCAGGAGCGTGCCTGGTCCACGAGCTTGCCTGGTCCAAGAGCTTGCCTAGTCCAAGAGCGTGCCTAGTCCGCGAGCGTGCCTGGCCGAGGAGCTTGCCTGGTCCAGGAGCTTGCGTGGTCTAGGAACTTGCCTGGTCCAGGAGCTTACCTGGTCCAGGAGCTTGCCTGGTCCATGAGCTTGCCTCGTCCACAAGCTTACCTGGTCCAGGAGCGTGCCTGGTCCACGAGCCTGCCTGGTCCAAGAGCTTGCCTGGTCTAAGAGCTTGCCTGGTCCAGGAGCTTGCCCATTCCAGGAGCGTGCCTGGTCCAAGAGCTTGCTATGTCCAAGAGCGTGCTTGGTCCCGGAGCTTGCCTGGTCCAGGAGCTTGCCTGGTCTAGGAGCATGCGTGGTCCAAGAGCTTGCCTGGTCCAGGAGCTTGCATGGTCTACGAGCTTGCATGTTCCAGAAGCTCGCCTGGTCCCGGAGCTTGCCTGGTCCAAGAGCTTGCCTGGTCCAGGAGCGTGCCTGCTCCAAGAGCTTGCCTGGTCTAGAAGCTTGCCTGTTCTAGGAGCTTGCCTCGTCCAGGAGCTTTCCAGGTTCAAGAGCTTACCTGGTCCAGGAGCATGCCTGGTCCAGGAGCTTTCCTGGTCCAGGAGCTTGCTTGGTCCTTGAGCTTGCCTGGTCCAAGAGCTTGCCTAGTCCAAGAGCTCGCCTAGTCCAGGAGCTTGCTTGGTCCAGAAGCTTGCCTGGTCCAAGAGCTTGCCTGGTCCACGAGATTTCCTCGTCCAAGAGCTTGCGTGGTCCAGGAGCTTGCGTGGTCCAGGAGCGTGCCTGGTCCAGGAGCTTGCCTGGTCCAGGAGCTTGCCTTGTCCAGGAGCTTGCCTGGTCAAGGAGCGTGCCTGGTCCACGAGCTTGCCTGGTCCAAGAGCTTGTCTGGTCCAAGAGCGTGCCTCGTGCGCGAGCGTGCCTGGCCCAGGAGCTTGCCTGGTCCAAGAGCTTGCCTGGTCCAGGAGCTTGCCTGGTCGAGGAGCTTGTCTGGTCCAGGAGCTTACCTGGTCCAGGAGCGTGCATGGTCCAGAAGCTTGCTTGGTCCAGGAGCTTGCTTGGCCCAGAAGCCTGCCTAGTCCAAGAGCTTGACTGGTCGAGGAGCGTGCCTGGTCCAATAGCGTGCGTGGTCCACGAGCTAGCCTGGTCCAAGAGCTTGCTTTGTCCAGGAGCGTGCGTGGTCCAAGAGCTTGCATGGTCCAGGAGCGTGCCTGGTCCAAGAGCTTGCGTGGTCCAGGAGCTTGCGTGGTCGAGGAGCGTGCCTGGTCCATGAGCTTGCCTCGTGCACGAGCATGCCAGGTTCACGAGCTTGCATGGTCCAGGAGCTTGCCTGGTCCAGGAGCTTGCTAGGTCCATGAGCTTGCCTGGTCCAGGAGCTTGCCTGGTCCGGGAGCTTGCCTGGTCTAGGAGCTTGCCTGGTCCAGGAGCTTGCCTGGTCTAGGAGCTTGCCAGGTCCAGGAGCTTTCCTGGTCTAGGAGCTTGCCTGTTCCAGGAGCGTGCGTGGTCCACGAGCTTGCCTGGTCTAGGAGCTTGCCTGGTCCAAGAGCTTGCCTGGTCCAAGAGCTTACCTGGTCTTAGAGCTTGCGTGGTCCTGGAGATGGAAAGCGGGAGAATGGGGCGGGGTGATGGAAAGCGGGAGAATGGGGCGGGGTGATGGAAGCAGGGAGAATGAGGCGGGGTGATGGAATGAGGGAGAATTGGGCGGGGTGATGGAAAGCGGGAGAATGCGGCGGGGTGATGGAAAGCGGGAGAATGGGGCGGGGTGTTGGAAAGCGGGAGAATGGGGCGGGGTGATGAAAAGCGGGAGAATGGGGCGGGGTGATGGAAAGTGGGAGAATGGGGCGGGGTGATGGAAAGCGGGAGAATGGGGCGGGTGATGGAAAGCAGGTGAATGGGGCTGGGTTATGGAAAGCAGGAGAATGGGGCGGGGTGATGGAAAGCGGGAGAATGGGGCGTGTAATGGAAAGCGGGAGAATGGGGCGGGGTGATGGAAGGAGGGAGAATGGGGAGGGGTGATGGAAAGCGGGGAAATGGGGCGGGATGATGGGAAGCGGGAGAATGGGGCGGGGTGATGGAAAGCGGGAGAATGGGGCGGGGTGATGGAAAGCGGGAGAATGGGGCAGGGAGATGGAAAGCGGGAGAAAGGGGCGGGGTGATGGAAAGCGGGAGAATGGGGCGGGCTGATGGAAAGCGGGAGAATGGGGCGGGGTGATGGAAGGAGGGAGAATGGGGCGGGGTGATGGAAGGAGGGAGAAGGGGGCGGGGTGATGGAAAGCGGAAGAATGGCGCGGGGTGATGGAAAGCGGGAGAATGGGGCAGGGTGATGGAAAGCGGGAGAATGGGGCGGGGTGATGGAAAGTGGGAGAATGGTGCGGGGTGATGGAAAGCGGAGGAATGGGGCAGGGTGATGGAGAGCGGGAGAATGGGGCGGGGTGAAGGAAGGAGGGAGAATGGGGCGGGGTGATGGAAAGAGGAAGAAGGGGGCGGGGTGATGGAAAGCGAGAGAATGGGCCGGGGTGTTGGAAAGCGGGAGAATGGGGCGGGGTGATGAAAAGCGGGAGAATGGGGCGGGGTGATGGAAAGCGGGAGAATGGGGCGGTGTGATGGAAAGCGGGAGAATGGGGCGGGTGATGGAAAGCGGGTGAATGGGGCAGGGTGATGGAAAGCGGGAGAATGGGGCGGGGTGATGGAAAGCAGAAGAATGGGGCGGGGTGATGGAAAGCGGGAGAATGGGGCGAGGTGATGGAAAGCGGGAGAATGGGGCGGGTGATGGAAAGCGGGAGAATGGGGCGGGAGATGGAAAGCGGGAGAAAGGGGCGGGGTGATGGAAGGAGGGAGAATGGGGAGGGGTGATGGAAAGCGGGGGAATGGGGCGGGATGATGGGAAGCGGAAGAATGGGGCGGGGTGATGGAAAGCGGGAGAATGGGGCAGTCTGATGGAAAGCGGAAGAATGGGGCGGGGAGATGGAAAGCGGGAGAAAGGGGCGGGGTGATGGAAAGCTGGAGAATGGGGCGGGCTGATGGAAAGCGGGAGAATGGGGCGGGGTGATGGAAGGAGGGAGAATGGGGCGGGGTGATGGAAGGAGAGAGAAGGGGGCGGGGTGATGGAAAGTGGGAAAATGTGGCGGGGTGATGGAAAGCGGGAGAATGGGGTGGGGTTATGGGAAGCGGGAGAATGGCGCAGGGTGATGGAAAGCGGGAGAATGGAGCGGGGTGATGGAATGAGGGAGAATGGGGCGGGGTGATGGAAGGAGGGAGAATGGGGCGAGGTGATGGAAAGCGGGAGAATGGGGCGGGGTGATGGAAGGAGGGAGAATGGGGCGGGGTGATGGAAAGCGGGAGAATGGGTCGGGGTGATGGAAAGCGGGAGAATGGGGCGGGGTGATGGAAAGTGAGAGAATGGGGCGGGGTGATGGAAAGCGGGAGAATGGGGCGGGGTGATGGAAGAGGGGAGAATGGGGAGGGGTGATGGAAAGCAGGGGAATGGGGCGGGATGATGGGAAGCGGGAGAATGGGGCGGGGTGATGGAAAGCGGGAGAATGGGGCGGGGTGATGGAAAGCGGGAGAATGGGGCGGGCTGATGGAAAGCGGGAGAATGGGGCGGGGTGATGGAAGGAGGGAGAATGGGGCGGGGTGATGGAAGGAGGGAGAAGGGGGCGGGGTGGTGGAAAGCGGGAGAATGGGGCGGGGTGATGGAAAGCGGGAGAATGGGGCGGGGTGATGGAAGGAGGGAGAATGGGGCGGGGTGATAGAAAGCAGGAGAATGGGGCGGGATGATGGGAAGCGGGAGAATGGGGCGGGGTGATGGAAAGCGGGAGAATGGGGCGGGGTGATGGAAAGCGGGAGAATGGGGCACGGAGATGGAAAGCGGGAGAAAGGGGCGGGGTGATGGAAAGCGGGAGAATGGGGCGGGGTGATGGAAAGCGGGAGAATGGGGCGGGGTGATGGAAGGAGGGAGAATGGGGCGGGGTGATGGAAGGAGGGAGAAGGGGGCGGGGTGATGGAAAGCGGGAGAATGGGGCGGGGTGATGGAAAGCGGGAGAATGGGGCGGGGTGATGGAAGGAGGGAGAATGGGGCGGGGTGATGGTAAAGCGGGAGAATGGGGCGGGGTGATGGAAAGCGGGAGAATGGGGCAGGGTGATGGAAAGCGGGAGAATGGGGCGGGGTGAAGGAAGGAGGGAGAATGGGGCGGGGTGATGGAAGGAGGAAGAAGGGGGCGGGGTGATGGCAAGCGAGAGAATGGGCTGGGGTGTTGGAAAGCGGGAGAATGGGGCGGGGTGATGAAAAGCGGGAGAATGGGGCGGGGTGATGGAAAGTGGGAGAATGGGGCGGGGTGATGGAAAGCGGGAGAATGGGGCGGGTGATGGAAAGCGGGAGAATGGGGCGGGGTGATGGAAAGCGGGAGAATGGGGCAGGGTGATGGAAAGCGGGAGAATGGGGCGGGGTGATGGAAAGCAGAAGAATGGGGCGGGGTGATGGAAAGCGGGAGAGTGGGGCGAGGTGATGGAAAGCGGGAGAATGGGGCGGGTGATGGAAAGTGGGAGAATGGGGCGGGGTGATGGAAGGAGGGAGAATGGGGAGGGGTGATGGAAAGCGGGGGAATGGGGCGGGATGATGGGAAGCGGAAGAATGGGGCGGGGTGATGGAAAGCGGGAGAATGGGGCCGTGTGATGGAAAGCGGGAGAATGGGGCGGGGAGATGGAAAGCGGGAGAGAGGGGCGGGGTGATGGAAAGCGGGAGAATGGGGCGGTCTTATGGAAAGCGGGAGAATGGGGCGGGGTGATGGAAGGAGGGAGAATGGGGCGGGGTGATGGAAGGAGAGAGAAGGGGGCGGGGTGATGGAAAGTGGGAAAATGTGGCGGGGTGATGGAAAGCGGGAGAATGGGGTGGGGTTATGGGAAGCGGGAGAATGGGGCGGGGTGATGGAAAGCGGGAGAATGAAGCGGGGTGATGGAAAGCGGGAGAATGGGGCGGGGTGATGGAAAGCGGGAGAATGGGGCGGGGTGACGGAAAGCGGGAGAATGGGGCGGGGTGATGGAAAGCGGGAGAATGGGGCGGGGTGATGGAAAGCGGGAGAATGGGGCGGGGTGATGGAAAGCGGGAGAATGGGGCGGGCTGATGGAAAGCGGGAGAATGGGGCGGGCTGATGGAAAGCGGGAGAATAGGGCGGGGTGATGGAAGGAGGGAGAAAGGGGCGGGGTGATGGAAGGAGGGAGAACGGGGCGGGTGATGGAAGGAGGGAGAATGGGGCGGGGTGATGGAAAGCGGGAGAATGGGGCGGGGTGATGGAAGGAGGGAGAATGGGGCGGGGTGATGGAATGCGGGAGATTGGGGCAGGGTGATGGAAAGCGTGAGAATGGGGCAGGGTGATAGAAAGCGGGAAAATGGGGCGGGGTGATGGAAAGTGGGAGAATGGGGCGGGGTGATGGAAAGCGGGAGAATGGGGCGGGTGATGGAAAGTGGGAGAATGGGGCGGGGTGATGGAAAGCAGGAGAATGGGGCGGGGTGATGGAAAGCGGGAGATGGGGCGAGGTGATGGAAAGCGGGAGAATGGGGCGTGTAATGGAAAGAGGGAGAATGGGGCGGGGTGATGGAAGGAGGGAGAATGGGGAGGGGTGATGGAAAGCGGGGGAATGGGGCGGGATGATGGGAAGCGGGAGAATGGGGCGGGGTGATGGAAAGCGGGAGAATGGGGCGGGGTGATGGAAAGCGGGAGAATGGGGCAGGGAGATGGACAGCGGGAGAAAGGGCCGGGGTGATGGAAAGCGGGAGAATGGGGCGGGCTGATGGAAAGCAGGAGAATGGGGCGGGGTGATGGAAGGAGGGAGAATGGGGCGGGGTGATGGAAGGAGGGAGAAGGGGGCGGGGTGATGGAAAGCGGAAGAATGGCGCGGGGTGATGGAAAGCGGGAGAATGGGGCGGGGTGATGGAAAGCGGGAGAATGGGGCGGGGTGATGGAAAGCGGGAGAATGGTGCGGGGTGATGGAAAGCGGGAGAATGGGGCAGGGTGATGGAAAGCGGGAGAATAAGGCGGGGTGAAGGAAGGAGGGAGAACGGGGCGGGGTGGTGGAAAGAGGAAGAAAAGGGCGGGGTGATGGAAAGCGAGAGAATGGGCCGGGGTGTTGGAAAGCGGGAGAATGGGGCGGGGTGATGAAAAGCGGGAGAATGGAGCGGTGTGATGGAAAGCGGGAGAATGGGGCAGGGTGATGGAAAGCGGGAGAATGGGGCGGGGTGAAGGAAGGAGGGAGAATGGGCCGGGGTGATGGAAGAAGGAAGAAGGGGGCGGGGTGATGGAAAGTGGGAAAATGTGGCGGGGTGATGGAAAGCAGGAGAATGGGGTGGGGTTATGGGAAGCGGGAGAATGGGGCGGGGTGATGGAAAGCGGGAGAATGGAGCGGGGTGATGGAATGAGGGAGAATGGGGCGGGGTTATGGGAAGCGGGAGAATGGGGCGGGGTGATGGAAAGCGGGAGAATGGGGCGGGGTGATGGAAGGAGGGAGAATGGGACGGGGTGATGGAAGGAGGGAGAATGGGGCGGGGTGATGGAAAGCAGGAGAATGGGGCGGGGTGATGGAAGGAGGGAGAATGGGGCGGGGTGATGGAAAGCGGGAGAATGGGGCGGGGTGATGGAAAGCGGGAGAATGGGGCGGGGTGATGGAAAGCGGGAGAATGGGGCTGGGTGATGGAAAGCGGGAGAATGGGGCGGGGTGATGGAAAGCGGGAGAATGGGGCGGGGTGATGGAAGGAGGGAGAATGGGGCGGGGTGATGGAAAGCCGGAGATTGGGGCAGGGTGATGGAAAGCGGGAGAATGGGGCGGGGTGATGGAAAGCGGAAAAATGGGGCCTGGTGATGGTAAGCAGGAGAATGGGGCTAAGTGATGAAAAGCGGGAGAATGGGGCGGGGTGATGGAAAGCGGGAGAATGGGGCGGGGTGATGGAAGGAGGGAGAATGAGGCGGGGTGATGGAAGGAGGGAGAATGGGGCGGGGTGATGGAAAGTGGGAGAATGGGTCGGGGTGATGGAAAGCGGGAGAATGGGGCGGAGTGATGGAAAACGGGAGAAAGGGGCGGGGTGATGGAAAGCGGGAGAATGGGGCGGGGTGATGGAAAGCGGGAGAAAGGGGCAGAGTGATGGACAGCGGGAGAATGGGGCGGGCTGATGGAAAGCGGGAGAATGGGGCGGGGTGATGGAAGGAGGGAGAATGGGGCGGGGTGATGGAAGGAGAAAGAAGGGGGCGGGGTGATGGAAAGTGGGAAAATGTGGCGGGGTGATGGAAAGCGGGAGAATGGGGTGGGGTTATGGGAAGCGGGAGAATGGGGCGGGGTGATGGAAAGCGGGAGAATGGGGCGGGGTGATAGAATGAGGGAGAATGGGGCGGGGTGATGGAAGGAGGGAGAATGGGGCGGGGTGATGGAAAGCGGGAGAATGGGGCGGGGTGATGGAAGGAGGAAGAATGGGGCGGGGTGATGGAAAGCGGGAGAATGGGGCGGGGTGATGGAAAGCGGGAGAATGGGGCGGGGAGATGGAAAGCGGGAGAAAGGGGAGGGGTGATGGAAAGCTGGAGAATGGGGCGGGTTGATGGATAGCGGGAGAATGGGGCGGGGTGATGGAAGGAGGGAGAATGGGGCGGGGTGATGGAAATCGGGAGAATGGGGCGGGGTGATGGAAAGCAGGAATAGGGGGTGGGGTTATGGGAAGCGGGAGAACAGGGCTGGGTGATGGAAAGTGGGAGAATGGGGCGGGGTGATGGAAGGAGGGAGAATGGGGCGGGGTGATGGAAGGAGGGAGAATGGGGCGGGGTGATGGAAAGCGGGAGAATGGGGCGGGGTGATGGAAGGAGGGAGAATGGGGCGGGGTGATGGAAAGCGGGAGAATGGGGCGGGGTGATGGAAAGCGGGAGAATGGGGCAGGGTGATGGAAAGCGGGAGAAAGGGGCAGAGTGATGGACAGCGGGAGAATGGGGCGGGCTGATGGAAAGCGGGAGAATTGGGCGGGGTGATGGAAGGAGGGAGAATGGGGCGGGGTGATGGAAGGAGAAAGAAGGGGGCGGGGTGATGGAAAGTGGGAAAATGTGGCGGGGTGATGGAAAGCGGGAGAATGGGGTGGGGTTATGGGAAGCGGGAGAATGGGGCGGGGTGATGGAAAACGGGAGAATGGGGCGGGGTGATAGAATGAGGGAGAATGGGGCGGGGTGATGGAAGGAGGGAGAACGGGGCGGGCTGATGGAAAGCGGGAGAATGGGGCGGGGTGATGGAAGGAGGAAGAATGGGGGGGGTTGATGGAAAGCGGGAGAATGGGGCGGGGTGATGGAAAGCGGGAGAAAGGGGAGGGGTGATGGAAAGCTGGAGAATGGGGCGGGCTGATGGATAGCGGGAGAATGGGGCGGGGTGATGGAAGGAGGGAGAATGGGGCGGGGTGATGGAAATCGGGAGAATGGGGCGGGGTGATGGAAAGCAGGAGAAGGGGGTGGGGTTATGGGAAGCGGGAGAACAGGGCGGGGTGATGGAAAGCGGGAGAATGGGGCGGGGTGATGGAAGGAGGGAGAATGGGGCGGGGTGATGGAAGGAGGGAGAATGGGTCGGGGTGATGGAATGCGGGAGAATGGGGCGGGGTGATGGAAGGAGGGAGAATGGGGCGGGGTGATGGAAAGCGGGAGAATGGGGCGGGGTGATGGAAAGCGGGAGAATGGGGCAGGGGGATGAAAAGCGGGAGAATGGGGCTGCGTGATGGAAAGCGGGAGAATGGGGCGGGGTGATGGAAGGAGGGAGAATGGGGTGGGGTGATGGAAAGCGAGAGATTGGGGCAGGGTGATGGAAAGCGGGAGAATGGGGCGGGGTGATGGAAGGAGGGAGAATGGGGCGGGGTGATGGAAAGCGGGAGATTGGGGCAGGGTGATGGAAAGCGGGAGAATGGGGCGGGGTGATGGAAAGCGGAAAAATGGGGCGGGATGATGGAAAGCGGGAGAATGGGGCTAAGTGATGGAAAGCGGGAGAATGGGGCGGGGTGATGGAAAGCGGGAGAATGGGGCGGGGTGATGGAAGGAGGGGGAATGAGGCGGGGTGATGGAAGGAGGGAGAATGGGGCGGGGTGATGGAAAGTGGGAGAATGGGTCGGGGTGATGGAAAGCGGGAGAATGGGGCGGAGTGATGGAAGGTGGGAGAATGGGGCGGGGTGATGGAAAGCGGGAGAATGGGGCAGGGTGATGGAAAACGGGAGAATGGGGCAGGGTGATGGAAAGCAGGAGAAAGGGGCGGGGTGATGGAAAGTGGGAGAATGGGGCGGGCTGATGGAAAGCGGGAGAATGGGGCACGGTGATGGAAAGCGGGAGAATGGGGCGGGGTGATGGAAAGCGGGAGAATGGGGCGGGGTGATGGAAAGCGGGAGAAAGGGGCGGGGTGATGGACAGCAGGAGAATGGGGCGGGCTGATGGAAAGCGGGAGAATGGGGCGGGGTGATGGAAGGAGGGAGAATGGGGCGGGGTGATGGAAGGAGAGAGAAGGGGGCGGGGTGATGGAAAGTGGGAAAATGTGGCGGGGTGATGGAAAGCGGGAGAATAGGGTGGGGTTATGGGAAGCGGGAGAATGGGGCGGGGTGATCGAAAGCGGGAGAAAGGGGCGGGGTAATGGAATGAGGGAGAATGGGGCGGGGTGATGGAAGGAGGGAGAATGGGGCGGGGTGATGGAAAGCGGGAGAATGGGGCGGGGTGATGGAAGGAGGAAGAATGAGGGGGGTGATGGAAAGCGGGAGAATGGGGCGGGGTGATGGAAAGCGGGAGAATGGGGCGGGGAGATGGAAAGCGGGAGAAAGGGGAGGGTGATGGAAAGCTGGAGAATGGGGCGGGGTGATGGAAAGCGGGAGAATGGGCGGGGTGATGGAAGGAGGGAGAATGGGGCGGGGTGATGGAAGGAGAAAGAAGCGGGGGCGGGGTGATGGAAAGTGGGAAAATTGGCGGGGTGATGGAAAGCGGAGAATGGGGTGGGGTATGGGAAGCGGGAGAATGGGCGGGGTGATGGAAAGCGGGAGAATGGGGCGGGGTGATACAATGAGGGAGAATGGGGCGGGGTGATGGAAGGAGGGAGAATGGGGCGGGGTGATGGAAAGCGGGAGAATGGGGCGTGGTGATGGAAGGAGGAAGAATGGGGCGGGGTGATGGAAAGCGGGAGAATGGG